CCCCCACGAAGCTTAGGAAAGAAAGAAAGCGAAAAACAAAACAAAACGAAACTTTCAACTGTCCGAGCAACAGGCAGAAGCCCTGTTACCTACCCAGATGTGGGGGAGCTTTCAAGATCCTTCTTCGGGGGGAATTTCTAGGAGGAACCAGGCGAAACCCCCCGACTTTCCATGCTGACAGGCGTCTGCAGACGGTCTGTTGCTCTTGTAATGAGATCCTGATTTTTCCCCCTTTTTTTCTTTCTCTCGCTCCTCTTTTTTTTTTTTTTTTTTTTTCCCCTCTAGTGTGTGTGAGAGCAGGAAGTTGGAGCAGTCAGGCCGAGCCGGCTCACTTCCTTTACAGCATTATTCCCCAGGCGGTGTGCAGTCTGTGTAAACAGGCTTTTCCGCCCCGCGCCGCGCGCCCGGGCCGCGGCTGTGCGCCGGGGCTGGCAGCCGAGGCCCGCGCATACTACACTGCTTGGGCCCCGCGCTCGTCCGCACCGCGCTGGGCGCCCGCCCGCCTCCCTCCCCGCTTCCTGCTCGGCCACCCCAGGGGAGGAGCCTCCAAACCCGCTGCGACTTGGAACTGCGGCAGCCTCTCCCCACCGGGGGTGGGGGTGGGGGGGGCGTTCAGCCAGAAATCCAGGGAAGCCACCTCTACGCGCGGGGCGGGGGGTGGGGGGTGGGGTTGACCCTGGGATGCGACAGGCATCTCCCCCTTCCCCCGGCAGTCCCTGCTCTGGGGACCATGGTGAGGTCGTGCCCTGCCCAACTGGTCTGGGCGGGGAGGCCGGAGGTAGAAAGGCTACTGGACTCTGCTTTCTGTTAGCTGGGGTAGAAGAGTTGGGGGGCACTGGAGTGCGGTTCAGGGCTCAGTTGCTCTGGGTAAAGTGTGGCTTTTCTTGTGGGTCGGGGAGTGGTTGTTTAGGATGAGATGTTGGATGTGAAGAAAAGGAGGCATAGTTCCTGTCTGGGATTAAAAAATAAAATAAAGCCAGCCCTCAGAGTGGGGGCCCACTCTGGGGAAAAGGATGAGGAGCCATAAACTGGAAGCCAGGATTCTCCAGTAAGAGACCTTTCTGGCCATTCACTATGGCCTCCACAGGCTCAGCCTTTCCTGCCTGCTAAAGAGCTGGGGGAGGCAAATGAGCGGTGACCTCCCAACAAAGTGACTGGAAGGCTTTGGAAGGAGGCTCTGTGATGGCAGGACTGGACTGCACACCTCAATATCCTGTCAGGGATGTCCCACCCCCAGGGATCAGGACAGGCTCTGACTGGAGAGCCTGTCTGTCAGAGCCTGTCTGCTACCCTGAGGCTAAGACAAGGGAGAGAGTGCCTGGTGAAGAACCCCTCACTCCCAGCCCTGTGTTCCAACCCCAACTACTCAACTTCCAGAATCTTCCAGTTACATGCTTCCTCTCCTTAGCACCACAGACAAGTGGGTCTCAAACTTGAGCAAGCATCAGCACCACCAGGAGGGCTTGTGGAAACACGGATTGCTGGGCCCACCACCAGAGTTCCTCATTCAGTAGGTCTGCAGTGAGGCCCAGGAATTCACAATTCTAACAAGTTCCCATCTAGGAGCCCTGGGGGCACAATGGTTAAGCACTCTGCTGCTAACCCAAAGGTTGAGGATTTGAACTCACCAGCTGCTAAGCGGGAGAAAGATGTGGCAGTCCACTTTCCTAAAGATTATTGTTGTTCTTCTTGGGTGTCATCGAGTTGATTCAGACTCATGGCAGAATGAAACACTGCCTCATCGTGCACCATCCTCACAATCTTTGTTATGCTTGAGCCCATCATTGCAGCCACTGTGTCAATCCATCTCTTCGAGGGTCTTCCTCTTTTTTGCTGACCCTCCACTGTACCAAGCATGATATCCTTCTCCAGTGACTGGTCCCTCCTGATAACATGTCCAAAGTACATGAGACAGAGTCTCGCCATCCCTGCTTCTAAGGAGCATTCTGGCTGTACTTCTGCCAAAACAGATTTGTTTGTTCTTCTGGCAGTCCATAGCATATTCAATATTCTTTGCCAACACCCTAATTCAAATGTATCAGTTCTTCTTTGGTCTTCCTTATTCATTGTCAGCTTTAACATACATATGAGCAATTGAAAATACCATGGCTTAGGTCAGGCACACCTCAAAGTGACATCTTTGCTTTGTAGCACTTTAAAGAAGTATTTTGCAGCAGATTTGCCCAATGCAATATCTTGTTTGATTTCTTGACTGCTGCTTCCAACCCAGCATTGATTGTGGATCTAAGTAAAATGAAACCCTTGACAACTTCAGTCTTTTCTCTGTTTATCATGATGTTGCTTATTGGACCAGTTGTGAGGGTTTTTGTTTTCTTTATGTTGAGGTGTAATCTATATTGAAGGCTGTAGTCTTTGATCTTCATCAGTAAGTGCTTCAAGTCCTCTTCACTTTCAGCAAGCAAGGTTGTGTCATCTGCATATCGCAAGTTGTTGGTAAGTCTTCCTCCAATGCTGATGCCATGTTCTTCTTCATATAGTCCAGCTTCTCGGATTATTTGCTCAGCATATAGATTGAATAAGTATGGTGGAAGGATACAACCCTGATGCACACCTTTCCTGATTTTAAATCACACAGTACCCCCTTGTTCTGTTCCAACGACTGCCTCTTGGTCTATGTACAGTTCTGCATAAGCACAATTAAGTGTTCTGGAATTCCCGTTCTTCACAAAGTTATCCATAATTTTTTATGATCTACACAGTTGAATGCCTTTGCATAGTCAATAACACAAGGTGAACATCTTTCTGGTATTCTCTACTCTCAGACAAGATCCATCTGACATCAGCAGTGATATTCCTCATTCCCCGTCCTCTTCTGAATCCAGCTTGAATTTCTGGCATTGACTGTGGATGTACTGCTGCAAACATTTTTGAATTACCTTCAGCAAAATTTTACTTGTGCATGATATTAATGATATTGTTTGATAATTTCTGCATTCTGTTGGATCAACTTTCTTTGGAATGGGCATAAATATGGATCTCTTCCAGTCGGTTGGCCAGGTAGCTGTCTTCCAAATTTCTTGGCAGAGATTAATATATTAGTTATCTAGTGCTGCTGTAACAGAAATACCACATGTGGGTGGCTTTAACAAAGAGAAATTTATTTTCTCACAGTCTAGTAGGCTAGAAGTCCAAATTCAGGGCATCAGCTCCAGGGGAAGGCTTTCTCTCTCTGTTGGCTCTGGAGGAAGGTCCTTGTTATCAATCTTCCCCTGGACTAGGAGCTTCTCAGTGCAGAGACTCCTGGCTCTTGTTTCTTGGTGGTATGAAGTCCCCATGACTCTCTGCTCACTTCTCTCTTTTATATCTCAAAAGAGATTGGCTTAAGACACGACCTAATCTTGTAGATTGAGTCCTGCCTAATCAACATAACTGCAGATAATCGCATCTCATTAATGTCATAGAGGTAGGATTTGCAACACATAGGAAAATCACATCAGATGACAAAATGGTAGACAATCACACAGTACGGGGAACCATGGTCTAGCCAAATCGACAGATATTTGGGGGGGGGGCCCAATTCAATCTGTGACAATAGATGAGCACTTCCGGTGGTGCATCCATTTGTTGAAACATCTCAATTGGTATTCTGTCAATTCCTGAAACCTTGTTTTTCATCAATGCCTTCAGTGCAACTTTGACTTCTTTCTTCAATACCATCGGTTCTCGATCCTATGCTACCTCCTGAAATGGTTGAATCTCGACTAATTCTTTTTGGTACAGTGACTCTGTGTGTTCCTTCCATCTTCTTTTAATGCTTCCTGCATCATCCGTAATGATTACAGCCTTGGAAACTCTATGGGGCAGTTCTGCTCTATCCTAGAGATTCGCTATGAATCAGAGTCGATTCAATGGCAGTGGGTTAACAAGTTCCCAGGTGATGCTGTTGCTGCTATTCCTGGGACCTCTTCTCAACTCAGGTAACATTAGAATTACCTGTGGAGTGTTTTGAAAACCACTGAATTCTATACTAAACCCAGACCAATTAAATCAGAATCTCTAGGAGGCGGGGCTGAGATGGTAGAGTAGTCAGATGCTTCCTGTGGTCCTCTTACAACAAAGACCTGAAAAATCAAGCGAATCGATTATATATGACAATCTCGGAGCTCTGAACATCAAAGACAAAGATGAGGAATTAGACTGAGTGGCAGGGGGAGGGAGAGATCGTTCAGAAGCAGCGAGGAGTTGACAGACTATACCTGGCCAAAGCTGGAACGCTTTAGGCTTGATTGGCTGGTGTGCGTGGTGAGGCAAGCAATGGCGCTCGGGAGGCGATTTCCACATCATGAGAGGCCCAGCAGCAGAGAGTCTACTTAGGCCTCCAGAACCAGTGAAAAGCAGTGCTCGATTGGCAAAAGATAAGTATATGTGTCGGACCTATCATGTGGATCAAAAAACACTTCCTTTGGGAAAAAAACTCTTTCTCATTTACCTGCCCCCTCCCCACTTTGCACTGGGTCCCGGGCCAGCTTCAGCGATTGCTGAATCCTCTGAGCCAGAAGTGGGACCTGTCACATGCCCTGAGCCATTCTGCCAGCCTTGAAGAGGGAACAAATGAACAAACAGGAAAAGAAATTCTGCCAGCTCCCCTAAGCCAGGAACTCAGGGTAGGCACAGCTCCTTTGCCTAGGCACAGGTATAAGGGGTCCAAGGACTTTGAATGCCTTTCACCCGTGCATAGACATGTGTGGGCCCATTTCAACAGTGTAGGCCCTCATTACCATAGCACAACAGGGTATATACCTGAAGCCTAACTTCAACTGTATCAGCTATATGGTGAAGTAGCAAGTTTGTGACATTTGACACTGCTCTGCCCATTAAGCAGGGTCCTCACCTACCCATATTAAGGGCCTGAGGACTGGTGGCTCCACCCACACCACCTAGCCACCTGTGACGGGGGGTCCAGAAATAAGTGGTGCCTCCCAGTCCTTACAGGCAACAGCACTGGGTGCCCATAGTCTGGCTGCAAAATCCACCCACCTACGTGTTCTAGGGAACAGGGACACACTTTCCTCCCAGACACTCAGGGGCAGCTGTCTGCCCCCTACATTGCTCAGCACGTGACCCCCTACTGCAGCCAGATACCTGTGCCTACACCAATCACCCATGCCTGTTTAGGACTGTAGGTGAGAGCCTGCACCACACATTGGTGATCAACTACCTGGACACCTCAGCTGAAACCATACAAGAAAAGTAAACAGACTCCTGGACTCACATACCTAGTAACAGATCTAACCACCTGC